GTCAGACATCATGAATATTAATAAGCACATAGTTAGGACCTAACTTTTATGAATATTCATCAAAATTATTATTACAAATTTAACAAAGTAACAAAATTACTTTGATTAACAAAAACAACAACGACATAATCATATTACAACAACCTGTAAATATACAGACATGCATGTCATAAATATTAATGAACATTTAACAACGGTTTGTTAATACAATGATTGTGATGAATATTAATGAATATTAATGAATATTTATGAATATGCAGTAATCAGTAAACAACCTTTTGCATATTAATGAGGTAGCGATGATTGCCCACCTGTAAAATATTCATCAAGAGTTTCCATGGCAAGTAGCAGCATTGTGAGTCATCACATTCATTCTTCCGAGGTTGGTTTTCTATAATGAACGAACGAACGAATAAATGAATGAATGAATGACTGACTGAATGAATGAATGAATGAACGTATGAATGAATGATTGATAGGTGTCGAGGAAAGAGAAAATGTGTTTTATATGTGCAATATATCGGAATGTTTATTTTCAATCGTTCGTTCGTTCATTTGTTCGTTCGTTCATTCATTCATTCATTCATTTATTTATTCAACTATTTATTCATTTATTTGTTCGTTCCTTCATACATTCATCTATAAATACACTCATATTATTCTACCGTTTGTTCATTCCTTCATTCCTTCATTCATTCATTCATTCATTCATTCATTCATTCATTCATTCATTCATTCATTCATTCATTCATTCATTCATTCATTCATTCATTCATTCATTCATGCATTCATTCATTCATTCATTCATTCATTCATTCATTCATTCATTTTTTCGTTTTGTTTGTTAATTCATTTATTCTAAAACAAAAAAAAAACAAAAAAAACATTTATTCTATTTTTTTTCCTATATTTTATTTCAAATTATGTATCACGTTATGTGTAAAAACAACGAACCAGAAATAGAAGTGATAAATATTTGACCATGCTTACCGTTAGAGAGAATGTAGCTGTATAATTATTTACTGCAAGATAAAAATGTGTTGATGTAGTGAGAACATCTGTTTGGATGAATTGCTGGGCTGCAAAACATTTAAGAAGACATGCATCAAACTAGATGCTTCATCACGCTTTGTCTATTTTAATAAAATACATACATAGTTCTCTAAAACAAGCAGACAAGTCGCTTACTTACAATGTTACAATGATAAAATAAAATATGGCAAAACCACATCATCAGCTATCATCATCTTCTCCATCATCACCATCCTCCATCATTGTTTGTTAGCTTTCTTTCTTTCTTTTATGATACACACACACGTACACACACACACACACACACACACACACACACACGTACACAATGTTCTGCACATACATTCACGTGTACGTATGCTGCATATAACATACACGCACATACATACAAATTTTTTCTTACCCTGATCATCAATATAATGTTCGCGCTGCTGTTTTTTAATGGGTTTTAATTGTAATATATTATGGAATGATATAGTGGTATCTGTACTTGTGATATTTCTGTATTTCTGAATAATAAATTATTATTATTAATATTATTGTTATTAAAATTATTCATATTATTATCATTATGTTATTCACTCTATTGACATTCCTCAGAGGATAATACTGTGATTAAATGCTTCGTTGAACAAATAACATTTTTGGAAGATCATTCCGTACCTTGGGCAGAGCAACCTGCAAATATTGTATAGTCTCAAATGTGTGCACTTTAATACAGTATAACATTTAAATGGGTTGTTGGTTTTGTATGTATTAGTTTTTTTTAATGGTTTTGACAATGAAATGACACTTCAAATTGAATTTCATTTAAAAATTTTTACCGAGACTATAATGCAATGAGAATCAATTTTATTTTCGATCGTAAGAGTATCCTACACACTATAATACATCATAATTCCTTTATACTGGAAACAAGGAATGTGTGTGCACGTCTGTCTGTGTTTGTGTTTGTTTGTGTCTGTGTGTTTGTCTGTCTGTGTGTATGTGAGTGTGTGTATCTGTGCTTGTTTGATTTATTGTGCAAGTCATTTAGTTCCTGGTACCAAACTAATATGCAATATATTGTTTTTAGAGCAGATTAACATCAGCATTCAATGATATTAAGTCGGCTTTCCCCGATCATCATCTTTTACACAACTATCACCAACGCTCCTTTCGTTCACCAATGTTGGGTTACGCAGACAAAACACGAAAACAAGTTGATAAGGAAATTTTCTGTTTATCACATAGTAATCTTCATCGTAAACATCTCTACCCCATTAGCATAACTCAATTTTGGCGTTCATCATACTCATGGTTTAATGATTAAAACTTAAATATGCTGTTTATTAAAATCGTAATTGAGAAAATTGTTTTAGGCGCCAGAGAATGTTCATCTTCATTCCGCAATAATCCCATCTTCTACACTAGTCATCATCATCTTTATTATCATCATGACTGTCATCACTAACATTATCATCATCGTCTACTTCTTCTTCTTTATGTTTATCATCATCTTGACTGTCCTCTCATCATTATCAATTTCATCATCATCATTTATATTTCTTCTTTTCTTCCTCATCATCGTCATCATTTTCATCATCATCTTCTTCTTCGACATCATCATCATTACCGTCATCATCATCTTTTTCTTCTTCACCATCATCATTATCATCGCCTTACCACCACCACCACCAACAGCTAACCTCGTTGATAACTGGCCGATGTTTATGGCTTTCGGAACTTCCTCGCATGCATCAGTTATTACAAAAATGTAGGTCAACCAACAACTTCATCACCATCACCCTCATCATCATCATCATCATCATTATCACCATCATCATCAAATTCATCATCATCATTATTATTATCATCATCAACAACAACAACAACAACTGCATCATCATCATCAACAACAACGTCATCATCACCATCATCAACAACAACGTCATCATCACCATCATCAACATCATCTTCATCATCATCAACAACAACAACAACATCATCTTTTTTGTTCGATCAAAAAAAGATCACATTACGACCATTAAAAAAGATCCAAAAAATTTGCTATTTGAATACATACGTAGTTCACAATGTGGCCCTCACGGCAAAAAGTTTTCCCACTCCTGAATTGGAGTATAAGTTAATAAATAACTATTAAATAAATACATAAATTAATTTATTTAATGAATAAATTCGTGAATAAATAAATAATAGATGAATGTATTATCTAAAAATGTTTATCAATGTTGACGATGCTTGTGAAGTGAAGATGATAACGTTAGTCTGGCGATGATAAAGATGAAGGTGTTAATATAAAGATGAAGGTGTTAAATTTAATAATGATGCTGATGGTTGTTAACGCTAATGACGGCATGGAAGGTAATGGTGAAGATGTTGTTTTTGATGATGTTGTTTTTGATGATGTTGTTTTTGATGATGTTGTTTGATGAATGATGATGATGTTGTTGTTTGATGGATAATGATGATGATGAGGTTGTTGTTGGTGATAAAATGGCTTCGCGGGCCGTAGTTTGCCCACCTCGGCTCTATTAATAATTCCATTCATCCACTAATTAACTCATTCATTGTCAATTCAACAAAATGCTCTCTCTTTTTCTCTTTCTCTCTCTCTCTCTCTCTCTTTCTCTCTCTCTCTGTGCGTGCGTGTGTGTGTATGTGTGTGTGTGTAGTTTTTCATAACTTCATAACTTCGTTTTATGCGCTGTAAATAAACACCATGATAAAAACAAAACATGTAAAACATGTTTAGACTGCTATTATTAAATCATTTTTCCGTAGTTAATCAAAATGATAAATGCGATTGTTTCTTGATAAGAAGGAGAAACTTATCACAACAAACATTCTTGAGATAATTTATGATCAAACAAGATGGCACTGGTTTATTTTTAGCAACGCTGATCAACATTTTTCTACAGAAGATATGACGTTTTTACTGATCATTTTTAGAATGTTATACTATGTGTCAGATTTTCATTTGCATTAAAAAATGCTATTTTTTTTATCGGTGTATCAAAAACAATAGACCCAAACAATATAGGGAGATAAGAATTTATTATAAAATCAATTAACCTTATCCTCATCAAAATATTTGTACTTGCTCGTTAATTTCTAGAAGTGATTAATTTGCCAAATTTTGTTACTTCGAGCTTCCTAACTTTTCTTTACATGCCATCCTTCAATATTAATCTTCAGGTCACACATGCTCCATCTCGGATTTTTTAACTTTTTATATTTTCATTGAATGCTTTCTATGTATAGAATACTTTGACGCTGTGATCTCCGTTATGCTAATTCATTCTTTTTGTTGAAATTTCTTATGATATGAATTTATTGTTTTGGTAAAGCTATGTTAAGTAAGTATAAGCTAGGTCTCATCTCACAACGCCTGTTCACGAGATTTATCAAATGTAAATTACACCATGGATATTGAAATACATTGATTAAATCTGTATGCTTTTGAGGCGATAGTTTAACATGCGAATTGAGCTATAGCACACGCTTTATAACGTTTACTAGGAAGCTTATTCATTGCAGCACAATTTATTGTTGCGGGTTATTCTTCTTACGTTATTAAACGTTAATAATAAAATTGAAGTCAACGTTGACCAGATAATATTTGCATCCTTATATAATCACCTCCAATTTATAAACATCTGGACTTGATCATCAGACCCTACTTATACGGAATACAACAAATATGTCATGCTAATGCTGCTCCGGACTCCCATTAATAAAAAAAAATTGACATGGCAATTCCAGTACTGAATTTTTATGTATTTTCTTTATTAAATTATATTACGAGATTACGAAAAATATTATATCAAAACAGGACAATGTATAGATAGTTGTATAGATAGTAAAGTAGAGCAAAACTTGTATGTGTAGAGTATTATTCGGATTTGTATAAACTCTGTAATTGGTCTTTTCGTTGAGTATCGGTTCGGTAAAACGGCCCAGCACTACTTTTGTTCATTGTGTTGTAGAGGCAGACAGAATTGTTCATTTCTTTGAAATTTATCAATGTGTCAATTAAAATTAGTTGATCGTTAATATTTTTGGAAGTTTTTTTTTAATTTCCATGATATTATTTTGAAATCTTTAATTTGTAAATCTTGTTTAAAAATGTGTAAATGCTGCATTTCTCAGGTTTTGAATTTAATAATTATTTTATTTGTGAGAATTGAAATTGTTGAAATTCAATCAATTCATTGGTATACTTTATACTATTCACTATTCAGTATTTGTATTGTATATGAAATAATAATAAAGAATTGAATTTCATTCCAAAATTATTATTTATTTAGATTTAGTTTTTCACATGTTTGGTTCTTTAAAATTCAATTTATAATTAAACCACAATATAAATAAATTATCAGTTTCTACAGCCTCCCTAAATTAAAATTAGAGTAAAATGATAATTTTGAAAGTTCCTATGTTGTTGTGGACCAGAGTCATGTGGTTTGTGCTGTTCATTCTTGCCATCCATCAAGCAATCGACCAGCACGAGACTCATGTATGCATTCTTCCTTCTCATGGCTACCATCCTGTCTTGTCTCATGCTGACTAATGAAGCCCAGATGTTCATTACTTCCAATGTTAATATCTGTTAATATATGCTAACATCTTGTCATAAATAAATCCATGTTCTATGTTTGTTAATATATTAAATTAATTAATGCACTTGCAGTTGTCTGAAGAGTGCTTTACTATTGCAATTTGATTTCAAAACAGATTCAACATTTCAACTACACATGCACTTTCCTGAATGCTGGTCATGAATGTGACAAGTTGGTTGGTTACCTGGCTGTCTACAGGATTGCATTTGCCATGGTTGCTTTCCATGCTTTCATGTTGCTTGCTACATGCTTTATTTATGATAGCAATAACTTCAGGGCCAATTTGCATAATGGGTTTGAATTAATATTAATTCACTCATTCTTTAATCAGTTCACATGTTCATTCACTCATTCAATAATTCACATGTTAATTCAGGCCGTCATTCATTCAATCATTCATTTATTCATTATTTAATGTGTGCATGTATTTCATGAATTGTGCATAATTGATAGATTTAAAAGATATTGTTGTCATTTTACTAGGTTTTGGGGCATGAAGGTAGTTGTACTCATTGCCGTCTGCTTGGCTACATTTTTTATCCCTAGAGATGAACTCTTTAGCACTGGTCTGTATTTTTTATTATTTTTTATTTTCTCTGTCCAGTGTATATTTATTCTTTGGTTTTTCTTTTTTCATTTTCAGTGACAGCTATGATGAATTCATTGTGCTGCCTACTTGCAATCAAAATACTTGGTGCAAATTTAATGCATCAGTTTAGTTAGATGTTGAAAACAAAAATTACTGCACATATAAGATGATCTATATTGGTTAATAATTGTTAGTGGTTGAGTTGTGAAAGATATTGTGAGATGCCTGAGCAATTAAGTTTAGAGTTTAAGAAGGATGTGTGAGTTTGTGATTGTGTGTGTGTGATTGTGTGTGTGATTGTGTGTGTGTGTGTGAAGTATATGTATGTATTATCTTGTTTTAAATAAAATTCGTGTTATTTGATTAACATAAACTATTTATGCTTACATGATAAAACAAGATAACAATGCTTTTAAGGATATGTGACTGGAATGACAAAAGATCTACATGTCAATGGAATGTGAATGTAAATATATAATGCCAAACATAAACAACAAATTTTGGGTGTAACTCAATCATTCATTCATTCATTCATTCATCCATTCATTCAGTTATTCATTTGTTTGTGTATATGAGTCTCATTCTCTTCCCATTAAGGGACAACCACCATTAATTTGATTGAGTTTGCAGGCAGGCGCTTGAATAAACAAACCTCGGTGTCATTATTATCACCATGATGGTGTATTTGATCATTATCATCTTACACCATAGTCATAATCCTCTTCATCATTTATCATCATCTTCTTCATTATCATCGTCATCATCATCACATATGAGATAACCATCATCACCAATTATTTGGATTTCTTAATGATTAACTAGCTTCACACACCACACACATCACACACACACACACACACACACAAGCATATCTAACCATACTATACTGATATATACTGATCAAATCTACCGAAATCCTGCGTCGTGCTGGTTTAGATGATATAAAGGACGAATGCAGTTTGGTCATGTCAAACGAAGTGGAAACAGTGCCATAACTTCTCTTGCAGATGTTGAAGTACCTGGCACACGTCCCAAAGGCCGTCCAAATAAGTCCTGGTCGCAAACAATCGAGCAAGACATGAAAGCTCTAAATTTAAATGAAATGGATACAACTGATCATCTAATTTGGCGCAAAACGTTGATGGCAAAGAAACAACGTCCTACGTCGGGAAATCGGGTCTCTGGACGCAAAACGAAGATTGATTGATACTGATATAATTTTGTTGATGGTTGATGTAAAGTTGTCATCATGATCTTTGCTAACTTAAGAACTAATTTCAAACAATAAACTATCTGTACAGTTTGGATGTACATAGGCATGGTTGGTGGGACTTTGTTCATCATATTTCAGCTCATGTTGCTTGTTGATTTCGCCTATAGATGGCATTGCAGATGGTATGTTGTGTACTTGAGTTGCATGTTTGGGTTGTTCACTTTTATACATACATCTTCCTACATATCCAGTTAGTGCAGCAGTAATGCAGTTTAATTTTGTGGCGTGTAATTAAATAATTTTTGTTCTGTTCATAAATGAAGTAGGATGGTAAGCTATTCTAATTGGGGCATGCACTGAAGTACTTGTCTCCTCGATCATTTGTGATCTGCTGCAAAAATCCTTGATGGATTAGAGTGTTGAATTTTATGCTAAATTCTAATTGGTGGCGCTGATGATGTTAATAAACTGTAATACAGTTAATAAACTGTATCATTTAATTTGATTAATTTAAAAACAACTAAGGAATCATTATGCAAGAGGAACAGAGAAGCATGGACCAAACAAAAGATGGCTTTGTGGTGAGTGCCATCAATTTGTTCGTGTAATAATTCTCATTGTGCCACTCGTTCAATTGCTCATTAGAGGCTTCCAAACACTTTCAGTTAGCAGTTCATATCAATGGTTTATTTTATGAAGGATTTATTTATTTTATGAATGAGTTGTTTAATTTTTAAATGAAGATCATCTCTATCAAGATATTGATTCATATTTCGTTAATTTCTGGGTTTGTTTAATACACAATGCGTTACTGTATGATATATTTTCGATTGATTGTAATTAACCATTTACCAATCTTTTTAATTTTTACAGCTTTGTATTTCTTTGGAACACTGTTTCTTGTGCTGATGTGTTCATCCTGTGTTCTCTTGTTCGTTTTCTACACGAGACATGAAGAGTGCCTCGAGAACAAAGTCTTCATCCTGCTCAACTCATCTCTTTGCCTTCTTATGTGCGTTGTCTCCATGCTTTCTTGCACTAAGAAAGGTTAGTTAATTGAGTTATGCTTATGAATCTGCTGTCTAAGCTTATCACATTTCGTTCCTTCTTGTTTATGAAAAAGCTTTATTTTGAATGTTCAACTTCATCAGCCAATATTGCACTTTTATGCTGGTAACCTTACAGATCCCTTTATTAACCCATGTACACTATTTATTTTCATTATTACTTTCGTTTTGTGAACTTCTAACCCACTTCAGAACCTGCATGATTAATACATGTGCCCTGTGGCTCATTTTTTATTTAGACATTTTTATTTTTAAGTACATTTCTTTTTTATATTATTAATTGATTAATTTTGTTCTAAATTAATTGCAAAAAGATGAGAAGGTTGAAATATTATCGACCTGCATATGGTTTATGATACTGATTCAATATATTTTCAGTGAACTGCAATTCAGGATTGTTGCAAGCAGCAATTATAGGCCTCTATGTCATGTACCTTACCTGGCTTGCTCTTGCTAGCGAACCTGCCAAGCAGTGTTTGTTTTTCACATTTTCTTTTTACATAAGAAATTTAAACAAATAAAGTTTCATCTTATTTATTTTATATTTTCACATTTATGAGATTTATCAAAAAGTCATTTTTCTATATAACGTTTCTCTATAATTAAATATATAATGTATTTGTTCACTCAGCCGTCAGCAAGTTCAACAACAACACTATCAGTAGTAGTACATTCTCACTGAATTATGTAAGTCGGGATCATGATGGCAACTCATCGAATGTTGGAATCACGTGTGGGCCTCAACTAGTGTACGATCCGGAGACTGATTCATTTTTCATTTCATTCTGGAGGAAAGCATCAGGCTTTGTTGGTGCTGCATTCATGTTTCTCATGGCAATCTATGGAAGGTTCTTCTTAATTTTTTCTTTCATTTTAATTTTTAATCTTCTAATTAGAAATATAACGTAATGTTATGGTTTAATTTTCTTGAACGGTTGTAGTGATACCATTCTGAGGCATTGGGGAACAAATAACTTTTTTGAAATTAATATTGTACATTTTTTTATTGAAATGCATGCTAAGACGTTTCACTATGCTATCTGTTTGCTACAAAATAATATAGTTCACATTTTAAAAAAGGGTTCACGTTTGACGGTAGTAGCAGTGCTTTGAATAAATTGAATAATTTTTTTTACTTTCATTCAGTTTGATGTTGTCAAAGAAATCTGACAGGCTGGGTGTTGTCGTGTCAAATGACTCTGTTAGTTTCTATGTTTTATGTAGCTATTTTATGTAGTGTATAAACTTATGCATTTAATCTAATTTGTTGTTTTTTAAATATTCACATAATGTAATTTTTTTCATATTGTAATGATATGCTCCCTCCTAAAAAGTCTAATTAATGTTTATTTCCATTTCGAACACTTAAACAAATTTAGTTACAGCATTTCCTCTCAAAAAATTATGCCAATTTGCATAATTTTTATGAGATTTTGATGACATTTTCACGTATGATCATCTCTATTATATTGATAAGAGCAACTGATTTGAGACCTGAGACTTTTCCACTGAATTCTTCAAAATTTCAAACAATCAACTGGCCTTCTTAATTATTTTCAATATTATTTTGATGAGATTTTTTAAATTGATCAGATGAGCATTTCTGCCCTTCTAGTTTTACTAAAATTTGTTTTTATATCGTGTTTGTAATATCCGTCGAGAGCATAATAAATAAGAGAACCAAACCACACCATGCAGCTTTTGTCTTTTTAATCTTTCTCAGTCTAATTTTAATGTTTCTCTTTTCTATATAATCATCCATGGAAGAAAGCTTATCAAAATTTAAGTTGCATTAAAGCTGTTGCAAAGAAGCTTTTGTTCAATTTATTATTTTAACAAAATTTTTCAATACCTACACACCCAGGTGATGTCGTGCTGCTGTTGCTGCAGAAGCACAAGTTAGTTCACAATCATTCAATCATTTCGTTTACTCATTTCTTCTTACATATGTGATTTTCATTTCACTCTCGTATTAATTCAACTCTTTCAAAACTCATTCAAGCATATTAAGTTAAAAAATTCTTGATGCATTTGTAGACTTCCTGGCCATATGATCAAAAAAATATTGTAATTTTTGTTCTCTATATAAACAGCGCCAAAGCACCCGGAAAACAGAGGTGGACAGAAGGTGTTGTATGATGAGTTTGAGAGAGTTCTTTACAGCTATTCATTCTTCCATTTCATTTACATCCTCGCCACATTGTACATCATGATGCAGCTGACCATGTGGAACAAGTAATCTTTCACATTAACATTTGTTACAAATTTTCTCAGGCTTAGTAAAATGAGTAAAACATCTCATCAAAATTTCTGAGATTTCTACCACATTTCTTTTTAACATTTCTTGTTTACATTTTTCTCTCACAAATGAATTGATGAACGAACATTAAACCACCCCCACACAATTTACTAACTTCCAAATGACAAACCCGCTTGGAATAACTCAAATTTTAATTTGAAAACATCCCGACAGTCCCAAAGAATCAGTATTGAACACGTTTGGATTGAACTGGACCTCCGTTTGGATCAAAATGGCCACGAGTTGGGTCTGTGTCCTTATTTTTCTCTGGACAGTATTCTTTCCAACATGTGTTCCAGGTAGGAAGTACATTTACGAACAGCATGCAGACTGCCACACAAAGCAAAGACCTAAAAAGGGCACACTAGTATAAAGCACCAAAGCAAGGAAGTATTATTAATGTTGCTATTTGTCATGACTTATGTTTCAGTTAGGAAAGAATATTTAATTTTTATTTAATGTATTTAACATCATGCATCCTGTTTGCTTTGTAGTCATTTAATTTGTTCTATTTTTAACATGTTATTTCGTTTCATTTTTTAATGCGACCACTTTTGAGATGATTTTTTTATTGCACAAAAATCAAATTGTTCATTCAGTTGAAAAAGAGCTAAACGTTATTTCGTTTTAATGTCTAATAATTTTATGGATCATACATTTTATTCCTTACGAACAATGCTGTTATGTTTGCTGCTATTGTTATATTTTCTGTTTTTCTTACTCAGTTTAAATGCTTAATAACATTCTTCTGCTTGCTCCGCCTCTGATTTAGACCTTTTCTATCTTACAATCCTATGCAATTTTTCCAAAATGTTTACCACTAATGATGAAATTGAAGACCTGCCTATCTACCTCAACCCAACACTTATCTATCTTGTTGAGAACCTATGATACTTGGCCACGCATCCCTTATTACTTAACAGTTGTATATCACAATGATGTTTCTCCGTGTATACTATTTAATGAATTCAACTTTTTTTACTGTAATTTTATAAACTTTTTTTCGACAATCCTGTTGTGAGTTTTCATGTTTATTGAAACTAATACAAAAATATTACCATACATGCTACTATTGTTAAAACTATTTTCGTGAATATTATAGATAAATATATACATATAATTTTACTGTCCTTGAACGATCATTGAGAATAGAAATGGAAAGTAGAATTAAAATCTTTACAACTTTCAAAACATTTGATGCAGAGAATGTCAACTAGCTAATTATTAATAATTAAAAAATTCAAATTGACGGAATCAAAATAATACCATGAAGGCACGCATCCTAAATAAAAGTGATTGACAGGTTGTGCTATTAGTTCGATTTGCAGTATTTTTTAGTATTTATCCTTCACTAATCATTCAAATTAAATACATAAATCGGGGGTGCGCAAACTTTTTGCTGTGAGGGCCGCATTGAGAACTATTTTACCTTTGAAGGGCCACATGCACTTGGAATAGCAAATTTTTTCGACCCGGGAAAAGGAGAATTTTTGTGGCTTCTTTTTTGGTCACGTCTGGCTGACGACCTTTTTTGGCCTCGTGTGGTCCCGCATGAAATAGTTTCACAGTGGACTGTAGTTTGCCCACCATTGACATAAATAAATAAATGACCATTCATTCACGTAAAATCCCAATTTTACATTTAACATTAATGGGGTTTGTTAAAATTACATACATAAATTTGTAGTCTTTATCATTTGCCATGTTTATGCAGTTACATACTTAGATAGAATATGACATACTCAACATACACACATAAGACATGAAAATATTTTGGATTTAATAGAATATCTAATTAGAACATTTTAAAATCTCGGAATTTGATCAAGTGAGAGAATTATAAAAAAATTAATTTACTTTATAACTAAAGGTGATCAGTTAAAATTATTTAATTTTTTAAAATGTTTCATATGGAATTCAATGCTGCAATTATAGATGGTGACTGATTACCATTAAAAAACATTTAGAATGGTCTGTAAGGTACATCCCTATTCTTGCGCTTCTGAACAAACTTGCAGCCAAGGAATATCATCACACAAATTGATAACCCAAGTACGATTCCACCAAAAAACGACCAACCATCGAATCCATGGCAAGGCAAATTGCCTGAAATTTAATTAAATATATTTATACAAATTAATTGTCATCTAAAATTCTGAATTGAAAGTGAATAGATATTATGGTTATAAAATGAAATAGCTAAATGTTTGTATTGCAACTTCAAGATGTTAGGATAGGTTATTTAAAACTTCAACCAACAAGCAATTTGAATTATTCACTTATTTATAATATATATTTATTTTATATATAATATATATTTATTTTTAATTCAGGCTAAATTATTTAAATGAAAAAAATTAAGCTTAACAGTTTTTCAAACACCGGAACTAATTTAAAATGTGATATCAGTGTTTAAAAAAATTTTACTTGGAGTAGTAGTTGATGTTGGAATAATGGAAGTTGTGGAAATGGTAGATGAAGCATTGGGGAATGTGGTGGGCTGACTGGTACTTGTAGGAAGTGTAGTAGGCAAATCAGTAGTGTTGGAAATATTAGGGCTTGTCGTCGGAGCAGCTGTTGTCTTAGTTGTACCTGTGGTGACGTGGCCAGTTGTAGTTGCGTTAGTAGTCATAGCATTTGTAGTTGTAAAATTTGTAGTGAAGTTGATGGAGGAAGTTGTAGGGTTGCTAGATGTGGAAAAAGAAATTGTGACTGTCGTGTTTGTAGCTGTACCATTATTTGTTCCATTGAGAGATTGTTGTTTTTCATTTGTAATAGCTGTTTCGTTACCTAAAAAATTATAAAAAAGTCATTAAATAAAAAAGATAAGAAAATAAAAATCGATAATATTTATTTATAGTTAGAGACTGGTTAGATTAATTGGCTGACTTGTATGCCGAACATAATGAAACACAATTTTTCTTAATTTAATCAAAACAAATTGCTTTAATATAATGGATAATGTGGTACATTGAGATGATATCATAAAATAAATAGTGGCTGTCTAGAGATGTTTATTAACGTACAGCATTTGGCTGATTGTTCATAAAAAAACAATTTTTTAAATTTAATCAAAACAAATTGTATTAACATAATTAAATAAATATTCTTAATAGGTATTAAAACAAAAATTGTATTAAAATAATGTGGCACATTGTGACAATTTCCAAAAATCTTATAGCTTGAGATGTTTACTAACGTACGTGATATTTGACTGACTTTTCACAAAAACACAATTTATTTAAATTTAAATGTAATAAATAAATTGTTACAATATGTCCATGTTTACAAACTATCTCAATGTAATTTTAATAAATTGACTCCGCCCGTGTTGAATTGTCTAGCGCTTGATTATTTATTTATATCAAATTGAAAATAATTTAGATCATTACTATAATAATAATTTAGATCATTACTTGTCAAATATAAATGGCTTATGGAGTGGTTAACAGGGTTAGGGCCTCCATAAGCCATTGATTGTTATCAAAACCGAAATTTACTCATATTTTAACTTTTTGTTATTTAATGTTCACTATTTCAACTATTTGACAAGTAATGATCTAAAAAACTTACCTAATTAAATTATTTTCAATTCAACATGGGCGGAGTCAATTTATTAAAAGTACATTGCGATAGTTTGTAAACATGGACGATATCATAAGAGTACCGATCTCACGTTTTACCTATTCATAATATGTATTTGATGGAAAATTGTTATAAAGTAATGCAGCACATAGCAACAATCTCTAAAAATCTAGTGGCTGACTTTATAACTTACTTGGTTTGACTGATTTTTCACAAAAATACAATTTTTTTTAATTTAATGTTTTAATCATAACAAATTGTATAATACAATTGTAAAATTATTCTTATTATTTAAATAAATATTCACTATTTATTACAATTTTGGCTGAAAAACATGTTATTAATATATCATAGAACAACTTATTTTAATTATTAAATTAAGAAAAATTGTGTTTCATTGTCTTCAGCATGCAAGTCAGCCAATTTATCATTAATCTGACTGGCAAGTAGAGACCATACATAAAATTTATATTTTATAAAAATACATAAATTATTATTATTTTATTTAATTATTAATAGCAATTTTTTTATAATAAATAAAATACAATCCGTGAATCCGTAAGAGTAAAAACATTTTTCAGCGTAAAAAAATAAGTTACAAATTGTTAATTAAAATCGATCATCGTCACATGAAAACTCAACAGAAAAAACACCTTCCTACACCAGCACAAAGTTCATGCGGTATAAAAAACGCCAAAAATTAAAAACAACCTTCTAAAATGACGGGATAGAAGTAACAAGCGAGAAGGCAGATGAAAATAGTCAATCGACACATTTTGATTTTCACGTCTAACTAATAAAACTTTAAACAAATAACTAATTCCACTGATCCAACTGACTAACCACTAACAGCCTACCGACAAAGAGCACGATCAGTTTGATAACCAGCAGGGATGCGCGAGGTAAATGTCGTCCGGTTTTTACGGTTAATAATCTCTCATTATTTTAAATATTATATAAATACAATTAATTACTATTTATTATATTAAATAAGTACTATGCAATATTTTATATAAAAATAAAAACTATACTATTTTCTATTCTAAACGGCAAAAAAATCTTATAAATATAAAATAGACGAATGCCATATGTTGACAGTGGTAACGTAAAATCTAGCTCAATCTTCATGTCAAACGTAGAGAAAGTGTTCAACAGTTTTGATTTGACTTGGTTCTTTGTGTGTTAATTTATTTTACCATAGTTTCAATTTGCTTGCATGTTGGAAATATATTCCACATACATATGACAAACATATTCAAGTTTCATGGCTTTGCTACCTCTCAGAAGTTATGCTTAATGCAGCCATCTGTGAAACATTCACTTAATAAAATTAACTGTGAAAATTGGTAGCCGAAAGAATTCGACTAATTTTGGCATATACAGAGAGTTTCTCGATAACGCCAACATAACGCCATCCTTTGGAAAACATGCACGTTTTCAGTTTATTGAAATAATCTCTAATGATTACATTTCATTCCGATGTAACGATGTAATTTTCAGAATTCATCCGCATGACGTAGATATTCACATGCACATGCAAATGCACATAGCAAGATGAGGCAATGCCGTGATTATTCTGCTTCAAAACTCGATCGATGGATGAAATTTGCTGTTGAAATGCTATCAATATTTGCCGTGTTTCTTCTTTGCTTTCTAAATGTAATGAGTAAAGTAATTTTTAAATTGTTCAATATTTATATTTTTGAGATAAAAGACTTTTTGAAATTTTTATATTTTATGATTTTCTCCAAATTAGAAAAAAAAATCAATTTAAAATAAATTTAATTTCTCTTGTTTGAATTTCTGAAACTTTATTTCAATGATTCCGAATTAAAATTAACTGAATAAAAATGAAAAAAAGTTTTTAAAGTCAAAATTGTTTTATATTGTCCGTTGACATTTTTTTTCAATTGCAAGATAGGTTTTAATTTTTGTCCTTCAATTCTTGCACATAATTCAACAAGACTTTTTTTAAAAATCACTCGACAATCTGAAAGCAATTCTAAAAACCTGAAACTAATCACAAGATTGATGAGCATTCTTTAATTGTAGCATACTTTTACAAATTCACTTTTTCATCTTCTGGATGAATTCAACGTAACACAGTTTTGAATGACGTCAGTATATGTACGTGACGTACAGACGATATTGTGCAAGTCATAGAGTGCTGGCTGGAGAAGTAAACAAATATATAACCAAACAACCTTGTATCACTGTGCTCCTCTGTAATAACATACAAATGTGACACAACACAGCCATCTCTCCTCTGCCTGTTTGTTGCGAGACGAGATACCTAAACATAGTTTGTATATTTTCTTCTCACCTGTCAGTTTAATCAGCAGTTGTTTTTTTCTGAAAATGTTTCAAAAGTTGTCTACACACATCTCAAATTTCAAATCCCTCAACAAAAACTTTTTATTTTAAAATTAAACTAAAACTAATGTTGCATTTATTTCATTCAAGCATGTGCTTCATTGTTTGCTTGTCTTCAAACTTACACATCATCGTAGCGTCACTTATTTACATAAACTTGAGCAGTTCGTTATTCTATATTTCAAAAGTATTTTCAAATAATTTGAATCACTGGAAAGTTTTTCACAAGATCGGGCAAGTTAAACATTAAAAATTTCAAGTTTAATCTTATTGAATTTAACCATCGCTAACTAATAAATGTTCATTTTTTTGTCATTTTTTTTTCTATCAGAAACTTTCAAAAATTATAGACAAATCTAAATTTAGATTAATGAAAAAAATATGTGATTTATTTAAGTTGCATCATAAGACTTCAATTTTCCAATAAATAACATTCATCGCTTGAATTAAAAAACTGCAGTGATAAAAGATGACATCCGGCAATTCAAAGAAGATGTGTCAGTTCGATGGCGTGCCACCTTACTATCTTCCAAAGTGGAGGTACCTGTCACTGGACAACAAGCTGCCCGTGCGGAAAAGCGTTCTTGACGGAGTGCTTAATTTGTATCTCGGAGATGGAAACATCGGAACTTCGGTTCGTTCTGCTGTTGCACGTTTTAAAATCACGCCAGGCTTTTTAAATTGGTTTGTATATTAATTCAACAGTAGTTGCTCTCTCAAAATGTTCTGAAGTAAACTCGAATCATACATGACCAATCCAATAAATATTGAGTATTGAGTTTAACGCGAGATAAAATAGCATTAACTAACAAACAACTGGTGAATTCGATGGTTTTGTTTTCACGATTTTCTTGTTTGAGATTTCAAGATTTTTTAAATAAAAAAACACAAAACTATATATCGCACTTGTTTTAATAACTATATTTTGCACTTTGAACAGCCATGGATCAAGAACAAGCATCTCGATTTCAACCTGCTGGACCCGCTGATGCTGCAGCAACCGTGTGACAGAGAGTACGACTCACTAAGAGATCCTTACCTCAAATGTTACTTCGCTAACGCACGGCATCTCAGACAACTTTACAAGTTTATATTTTACATATTTCTGTTAGAGTTTTTGGTAGTTTTGAAAAACAATTCTATAATATTAATTAATTTTGCCAGCAAAGTTGTCTAAGACTCAATTTCAACAAATTTCCTAAAGTTTTAAAACATTTTTTTTAACATGACAGACAAGGATTAATAACCAGGGAAGGCAAAACAATATCGTGTCTTCGCGAGTACAACATGTACCGAGCCTACATCCACGCTACAAATCTTGACATCATAAGGACCTTGCATGTAGATACATCATTTAATTAAATAACCTCAATAAAATTTACTGAATTTGTGATTTTGCCTTGTTTCAAATTAAAACGCATACAATTATATATAAATATGTAAATATAAAACATAATATCGACAACTTTGCGTTATTATCAAGGAACTTTTACATCAACAACTTGCATTTGATAAGCAAATTTTGACCAAAATTTAGAATAAATTGGTGTCAGTTATGCAAGTTTTGAATCATTATTTACGGCGGCCACAAACCAACCTGGTTTTAGGTGCAAAATGAATGCGAAGACACGAAGAGGTTGGTGATGACCACCCTGATGAAGGCTAAAGCACTCCCCAAGGAAGATTATGAAAACCAATGTGGCAACAATACTTTGTATAGGAGGTTTAACGCATTCACACGTTCACGTCAAATTTAAAATGATTTACAAATTATTGAAAAGATTTTAAAATACAACGTTTTGCCTTAATTCACGTCTCAGTTTTATATTTCAGTTGTAAAATTTGAGCAAACTGATTCGATTCCTCGACATCGTCTAACTGGTCCAAAAACGTCCTTTAAAATTATTTAACCATTGAAAAATGTTCAAATAAAATTTTAATGTTGACACTACTGACTAACTTACTAAGTTAATAACTAACAGGTATTCAGATGCACTGAGGATGGAAATAAAAGATATTTGCGAGCGAGCGGAGAACGAATTTGAAACAACACCATTCTTTAGGGAATACTGCGAGGTTAGTTTTTATAACTTACGCACTGAAGGCAATGTATTTCAGAATAAATAATTCAGTTGACTCGAATCCACTTTTTCAAAGTGGTGTTTAGTGTTGCGTTGACAAGTAAAATTAAAAAATCATAATCGATGAAATTACGTCAAAGCGAGACCTGCGCCAGAGATGTACTATCCTTATCGGAAACTATACATTTTTATATGGTTATGTATAGTAGAATCCAAACATACAGCTGTAATCGGTTGTGAGAAACATATTTTCATTTAGTCATATTGTTTGTTGTATTCAAATGTAATACAATACTATCGTCAAACATTTTATCAAATTTCAAATGTGACTTTCAAATCTTGACTTTTTTTATACTGACATAATTAATCGATTCTATGCTATCAGATGATAACTTCCACTTATCATTTCTTATCATAACTTATCACTTAAATGGAAGTTGAAATCTCCAACAGACCTGCAGATATGAGTTGCAGTTATTTTTTCTCATAAAACAAAATCATTTTCGTCTTGTTGGTCAAAAATTTTGTCTTAAAAATTTGAGGTCCATATTCCAATTTTTACATTTACGTCACAAAAAGATGTTTTGAACATAATTATATGAAATTAAGTCTAAACGAAAACATTTAAATTAATTTTTAATCATATCAGAAGACGTATTGCTACCTAAAATGATAAAAATGTCAAACAAATGCAAGAACCCCCAGATTTTCACAATGGAATGAATAAAAAAACATGCAGAAATTCAAAGCAGAAGAAAAAAAACTTGGATATAAATCAACATTGCAGAATTAACGAAACTGAAAGTCATTAAAAAAAAACCATTTTTTCACATACAAATATTATATTAAAAAACAATTATCACGAACTATAAAAATATAAATATTGTATTAAAAAACATACAAATATTAAAACCAACTATCACGAACTATAAAAATATAATTTAAAAAAAAACTTTTTTAAATTTTGTAATTAGGGTGAGAGACAATCTCTGCTGAAATTCCGACAAATGCTCTTGAATGATATTAAAAAGAAGGCACTCATAAGACTGCAAAAGCTGCAACAGTACGAACATAACCAAACTAAGGTGGTTCAGTTTGAAAGTTGGAACTCTACTAACAACACACTCTTATGTTCATTTTTGTCAAGTTGGAAAAATTCAATTAAAATTTAAAAAAATAGTAATGACGAACATTTTGGATACTTCAGTTTTGGAAGCACTGGCAGAAACACACTAATTCCCAAGTTCAGAACAGAGCCGATGAATTGGTTAGGGAGCATGTATTGAAATATGAGAGGTGTAAGAACATTAAAGAATATATGGATCTCTCTCTATATAGGCAACGAAAAATGGGAGGTTGTAATGAAAATAAGTTTGTGTGTCTGTGTCTGTCTGTCGGCATGTATGTGTGTGGGTTTGTTTGTGTGGTTGTTTTTAATATATTAAACAATGAAAAATGTGTTATAATCAATTCGATATTTAATTTTGAGTAGATGTTGTACAGAAAGGCAAAGAGCAGCACGAGAACAAACTGAAGAAATCGATGAGAAAGGTGGGGCAGAGAGTTTGCCTAAAGTCTCAGCGCCAGTACCCCCTGTCAGCCACTTGTCCATACAGTTAATATTGCCTCATTTGTTCTTGTTTTCTAAAATAAAAACTGATTAACATAACATAATAAGGATTATAGTGGTTCACTATATATATCTGTGTAAAAAACACTGAAAAATTTTTGACTAATAATATGGAACTCAAATCCTAACCTTCCAAGTCTGTCTGACTTTGAACTCCTGCGTTGTAGAAACTGTTACAGTTTGTCCGTCCAGTTTATTTCAATGTTCAATAACTCTCGAACTGAAAAATCTTCCTTTTATTGTTCCTACCCTTTCTTTGAAAAGCTCGTACTGGTGCCCTCCTGTGTTACTACTTTCTGTAAATTGGAAGAATAGGGATGAATCTATCTCATCTAACTTATGATTTTGTACTCCTCTAGCCCTATGTCTATCCAAAGTCTTCAATCCACATATTATCAATCTTTCCTTATACGAAAGTCTTTCACAATTGTTAATCATAAAAAATTATTATTATTATTATTATTATAATTATTATAAAACATTAATTTTTAAGTACCTACAGCTAAATAATGAAAGAAGTAATTGATAAAACAATTGCGACAGATTTCTTCGAAGGGGGAACGTACGACGATTCTTGTCCGCACAGCAATGTCGGTTCAATTTCATTTTACACAAACATTTCCATAGTTTTATATTTCTATCGTCGCCAGCACATAAAAGCAAACATTATTGAAACCTGTACAACCAGGCAGTGTATAAAGAAACGTAATAAAAATTTCTTCGACAAGTTTTTTTTAATTTCAACTTACACAGCTAGCAGAAATAGATTTTTTTAGAGTAGATTTTCCGAAATAAATACATCCTACATAATAATTTCCGAACATGCAATTATTTATGGAAATCACATCACTTTCAGAATCGCTTAATTTACGTTTTAGCCTCTCAATTCTTCCAAACGTCCATTTTATCCATTGTTTCAAATGAAAATAGAATTTGGTCGATGAACTCCTGTTTTAACAGCTTGTTTAAACCTGTCATGCAGACATTAAAACGAATGCTTTTTTGTTTAATTAACCAATTTCACATCAGATCGTTGCAAATCTAAAAGAACAATTATTCTGTGAAGATATAAAGAGCAATCAAAAAGATAAAAATCGCTTTCAAGTATTATTTTATTTTTATTAACATACTAATTACAATTATTTGACATATATGGAAAAAACTATAAATTTAAAAAATATATTTATATTTTTCAAAATGTTACAAAATTATTTCAACGATTTTTTCTTCTGTGTTATCAACAAAGAAAATTTTTTGAAAATTAATTTGCAGAGTTTGCAGATTGTCACTGAAAGCCAAAATCAAAAAGCGATTAACGGTTAGCAAGTGTTTCAATGTTTGCACATTTTTTCTAAATGACTCAACATTTTTTGTTTAATCTAATCTAACTTCAAACCATATGCAAGCGCTACAATTAATTTACAACTTACAACTCTTAGAAATGTTGTTTATAATAAAAACTTATGACCGGTTATTGGTTTAAAATGGTGAAATTTTTACGTAAAGATTTTAAAAATTGTTATAACAAAAAAAACTTGAAACAAAAGAAAACAAGGGTTTGATAAAAACCACTATCTACAATTCCCAAAAATTTGAATATTTAATTAAGATACTTTTTAAGTAGGTACAATGAAAAAATCTTTTTCTGTCATATTACAAACATGATTACCTATTTATAACCGATCATAAATAATCTAAAACGACGAATTATATGTTTAGATGCATTCAGTCTTAATCATGATCATCTATATATTGTAACCAAAAAAATATTTCACGGCACGTATAAATACAACCAGGTTCTCAGAAGTCGAATTTCAAGAAGAAGATTCAAGAGAAAGAACAGCCCTCCAGCGTTAAACAGTATGATGATAATGTGCCAACCATTTCTGATTCGCTGGTTCTTACAATAATCAGGAATGCGTTAGCCTTAGTAGTGAAACATTTGAAATTGCCGTATATTTGCCAGCCTAGTAAACATTCACATTTCAAAACAATTCGAAATCAATATTTTATCCAAGAGATAGCGAATGAAATTAAAGACGAGCTGTACGATCTAGTTAAAAATAATTTGGAATTACTTATTACTGTAACAAAAACCCGTCAATTCAACCAAGATAATTTCGATGAACGACAAAAGAGGGGTCTGAAGAGCAATGAAAAAATTGTCACCTGGGAAGGAGCCCCTCTGATGAAAAGTAACAGTCAGACAATGACTGGCAGGTTAAAAAATTCATCAAATATTTGTTTTTGTATCAAAATTTTTCATATATGTTATTAAATCCAAAATTTCTCAGGTTTATTCGTGAACAGTTACTTCGTATCTCAACAAAATTGAAATGCGAAGGCATGTTGTCGGAAAAGAACAACAAATCTCCAGAAGTCATATTAGATCATCGCTTTTTTGCAGCAATTGCCGAAGCAACTAGCGCACAAGACATCCAAGAACTGTCGTGTCAGTTGCTCGATGGTAACAAAGTAATCTGTGAAGCGCGAGAAATTGTCACAGCTTTTGAAGAATACAACACATTCCAAGCAAAAAAAGATGAATTAATATTGTGCCTCATCACCAGCCTGATTCGCACTGCTTTATCAACCATCAAAGTAATTTGATAAATAAAAATATTAAACTTGTTTATACTTGACAAATTTTAAATTTTAGGATTCGTTAAATTGTGCCGCCATTGAAATGGACGATATTTTGATAATGTGCTCAGTCTTAAACAAAGATTCAAGTCATGCCAAGAAATCAATCCTTTGCAAAAACGTTGAAAACCTTATCGACAAATACAGCAGTGATCTCATGAACAAGAAATGCATGGATTATCTAGTGAAAGACACTGTCAAAAAAATAAGATGTACAAAAGAAACTCCTAACTCTGATGAAGAAATTTCGAAACATATTTTCAAGGCCGCTAAAAGATTCATTTCAAAAGTTATTGAGAATTTAATGAGCGAAGCTTCTAAAAAATCTCAAGCGGCAAACGCCAACGAAACTACGGAAGATAACGTCAGATGCGAAAGCGATTACGATTATGAAGGCGAAGATAATAAATCACCTCTGAAAGACCCAAGTACTTTGACAGAAAATGAATTAGTTATGAATAAAATAACACCAGATGATATCGCAAGTTCTTTAACTTCGGCTATTTCCAAAAGCGCTTTAAGAAAGAAATCGTCAGCCAATATTTCACAAATAGAAAATAAAAGAAATGTGTCTAAAAAAAGTGATATTGTTATCGACGAAGGCAAACATTTAACTGATGAAAAAAAACAATCAGTGGATGCACTTTTGAATGTTCAAACAAAACAGGACAGTCGTCTCTCTCAAACCAGACAAAAAGTTGAGGACTCTCGCACATCAGACCTAGGACGCAATTCTCAAACCAGCCAAAAAGATAAAGATTCTCATCCATCTGATTTGATTCGTCATTCTCAAACCAGTCAAACGTCGAAAGATTCCCGTACACCAGTTGTTAAGAAACCGAAACTTAGTTCAACAATAGTAAATAAAGAAAAAACAGATGACAATCAGATAAATAAAAGAAGTGATTTTGAAGAAATCATTCAAGAAGATTACAAAACAAGTGAAAACATAGATAATGACATAATTTATAAAAAGTTTGATGACCAAAAATTAGATAAAATGGTTGACGGTGAAGACGAATATGCTGAAATGCCTAAAGAGCAAAAAGAAAGTGAAAATACATTTGTGGAGACAAATTTTGAAATTATTGATGCTCTTAGTTTGAAAGAAGAAAGACAAATATTATTATCCAAGTATGGATCGGCGAAATTGTCGTTGATTCTTAGTAAAAAATCAGACATCCCGGCACAGAGCAAACAAATCTCTTTAGGAGAAATAAAAACATCAATTGTACCGTTATACTATAGTAAAGATGCTTCAGTAACCGATGTAATTAAAACACCAGCTTCAATTCTTAGCAAAATTAAACTATCAGAAAATGAATTAAATATTTCAACGGTGAAGTATAAAAAATCGTCACCATCAGATAGAAGTAAAAAAATAGAGGCCGAATGTGACGATAGGGATGATTCATATATTAGATTAACACCTGATCAAGAGGCCAAAACACCGGCATCGCTAAAAGAAAAGTGTAACAAAACGGATGCTGAATGGGACAATAAAGATGTTTCTTATCTTGAAATGACTCCTGATCAAGAAGATAAAACACCAAAGAAGAGAAGCAACAAAATTGATGGCAAATGTGATGATGGGGCTGTTTCAAATAGGGGTCAAAATCTAAATCAAGAAGCTAATACACCTTCTATTAACGATTACGCTCTGACGAGAATCAGTCCAGATAACAGTGCAAACTTGCCTTCAGATAAAACCATGAATGAAATGACTGATTTCAGACAATCACCAATAAGTAAAGCAAGTACACCTTTTGAAAAAAACGCTATTGTTAAAAAATGTTTATCAATGACTGATTGTCCATATCTAACTCAAACACCTGATCGAAAATCAAGCATTCCCAGTGATCTTTCTCCAAATTTCGAAGAAAATAATGATACACCTTGTGAAGCAGAGCCTGACCAAGAAGATATATTCGAAAAAGAAAATCAAACCGAAACCGATGAAATTTCTAAAAGAAAAACACCGGACAAAAAAGCTGATATATCTTTTCCGCTTGATGATTTGAAACAAAACATTCTAAACGCTAGTCCCAACGAATATGAGCAGCCAATGTTTACTACGGCCAGTGAAACTGACATACCAGATCTCATAAATCAAAAACCCGATAAAACAGTAGCTCACAACGGTCGTTTCAGCGATGATCCACAATCGTTTGACAACAACCAAGGAGATTTGCCAGACACTGTCCAAAACCGGAAAGCTGTATGTGAAGCAAATTCTATCGGAACAGAACAACTGGCCATTCAACAAGAAGCTACTCATAACGAGCCTGATTATCCTGACACTCAAGGATTTTATTGAACACATTAATTTCCATTAGTTACAGCCGAATATAAATTTGAAAATATTGAAAAACGTTACAGAGTACTTAAACTTATATGAATATAAATCTGAAATGATTGAAGAATGTTACCAATTACTTAGACTGTACGTTCAACGGTTTCATCAAATTGACAATGCCATTAAATTAAAAATTATATCAAAACTTAACAAAGTATATATGACATATATATCTATGTTTGTGTTTTGAATGATTGTGATTATAATCCATGTAATTTTTCTAACGAGTTAATTATTTTCAAAAAGAAATTATAAGATGATTTGCGAAATGAAAACATATAATTACCTTTTAAGTCCTCCGTATTCTAAAAATTGAGTTGACTTGACGTTGACCTAAATGCGTTTCCATCGAGATTCCTTGCACCTGTTCATGATAGGCGCGGCATCAGTATAGCTTCCACAAAAGTTTTTTTGAAAAGAAAATGATAGGGCAATGCCGCATAAATTACCACAAAAGGTACTATAAATACGATTCTCAATTTCGAAACATTAGCTGACAGATTTCTAACATTAGCTGGACAATTTCTAAAGAAATGGAAAAAAGGATTAATGCAGCTGAGATGTGGTTTCTGAGAAGAATAATGAAAATTAGTTGAACCTCTCATACCTCCAATGAGAATGTATTAAAACAACCCGGTTATGAAAAGAGGAAATTACTACAAATAATCCGACAGGGGCAGCTACTAGAAAGATTGCAGAGAGAAGAGGTCGCGGTCAACAACGAATTACCTTCGTGAAGTCCTTGTGTCACTTGTTGAATGTCACCACATTTCAACTACTACAAAAAGTTTAAAGATCGGGTTTTATTGAGGTTGATGGTCGCCAATGTCCCGCAAGGATAAAGCACGAGAAAGAAGACAGATCACCGAAAAGTACATCTCTCAAACATTTTGTCATCTAGTTGTTGTACTAAGTTTGCTTGACATTTTAAACAATGTTTAAGAAATTCAAAAATATGCGTAGCATTGTTTTATACATCATATCTAAGCATATATCATAAATCATTGAAGTAAACAATCTTAACATAATCTGGACAGTTATAAAAACAGATCTTAATATGATACCCAATACCCTATTAAAACAATTGTATAGCTATAAATAAAACAAAGTTTTAGAAAGTATTTAATAAAATTTGTAATATATGCAAAAATGTTTCCTCAAGAGATGTTAATTGTAGACTTTGACACGATTTATTTCAACAAGTGATTTAAATACATCTTTTAAGGCGTTTGTGATGTTGTCCTCATTCGTTGAGTAGATGTCCATTTGAATGTGATTATTATTGCTTTCTGCCTCTTTCATCAATATTGGGTAAGGCAATGCAACGTTATCTTAAATTCATTAATCAAATAATAATTAGTTTTAAGATGAAATTCTTAAAATAGTTAATAAAACTCCAAATAATCAAACGTAAGAAAAAAAATAATATGACATACGTTGCTTTCTGCTTACAGAAGCTGCTATCTCTTCAACATTTTTTATAATCACCTAAAAGCATTTATACGCCAAATAAAATTATTTTGTTTAGATTTTAATTTCGTTAATACGAGCCTTATTTTTTCCCATAATTCCAAACAACAGCAACTCATTCTTTAGAACTTTGTAAGCTAAGGTAGTTATCACTACAGTTTTCTTGATCACTTTCTTGCACAAATCTCTCAATTCCTTGATGTAAGGAGGCATGAAATCCAAATCTCCTCTTAGTACAAAGTCCGAATTTTCGCCATCAACTTTAGTTACTAGCTTGATCTCAATTTCACTAAAATCCAAAAACATTATTTTGAATTTGAATAAAAGCTAATTAATCATGCAATGCACATAATGGTTTTTATTAATACCTTTTTGCAGCAGAAATGTAAATTTTAAATAATTCTATACTGGCAAATTTTTGAAGAACTTCTGCTATCACTGATGACACTGAAATGTATTTGAAAAATGCTCTAGACCACAATCCATTCCAGAACCTTCCCATCAACTGCTTGAGGTCATGCTCATCTTTTGAATATCCAATCAAAGTTAATTTAGTGTCTGTTCTAGACCATGTTATGGCATCTCCAAAATTTTGCTCCAAAGTCCAAAAATATGATGACCAAATATTACCAGTAAAAAGTTTCAATTTCTCTTCATCCAAATCAAATTCAGTTCTGGTAATGTAAGAGTTTAAAAATCCAGTAACTTTCTCCACCACATCTGCATTCAAGACACAGGCACATAGCTCTCCATCATCATTTATTGTAAAAAGGGCACACTCATAGATTTCTTGCATAACTACTTTCTCCAAATCTTTAAGCATGTTTTTATGACGAAAAAATCTACGGGTTTCCGATTCAGTTAAAATAAATGAAGACAACACCACGTCTTTAATACTTTTTTCAAATCCTTCTATTTGAGTTTGAAAACTTAAAATAGAAGCATCACTACCAGAGACTATCAGCTGATCATCATCAGATATCAGTGAATGTAGGAAATACTGATCTAACATTTCTTGAAGTTTTGAGGAGTTTTTTAATAAGGACAGAAGTTTTACAGAGAGCTTGACTGTTGTGCTTGCAATTTCTTCACTTTTCCACATTTCCAAGCATTTGCTACACCAAAAATTTGATACAAAAAAATCTGAAAATGTTAACTAAACAGTACAAGAGATTGGTCAATTTACTTCAATACAATAAGTCAATAACTATTACTTGCTTTCACAAAACATTTGTATTTTATATTAATATTACACATAATATAAATATATGTATATATATATATATATATATATATATATATATATATATATATATGTTTGAATTAATACGTTTTAATATATCTAAACACTCTATTAACAATTTCTTCTAACATCTTACCTGATTCTAAAACTCTTGATGTTTCTTATAAGTTTCAAAGGCATAGGCTTTATCTTTAATTCTGGCATGTCTACTCTACATAGAATAAACAACTTTTGCCATTTCTTGATGATCTTTTCATCTACCTGTTGCTTCTTTAGTTTTATCTAGGATTGATTATTATTGCTTGCTCTACTATCGTCTTCCTGATTCAATCTTTTAAATAAAGCTTTTAAATCTGCTGCTCATCTTGTTACTTTTGCCCCTATTTTTTCTCATATATCTCTATATCTTATTCTAATGCACTGGCTACCTATGAAATATAGAATAATTTTAAAAATTTGCTCATTAATGAACAAGTCTCAATCTAAATTATTTCATAAGTACTAAATAATAATTAAACCTAAACACTCGGTTTACAATCGTCTTCTTGTTCTCACTTCTTCTTAACTCTTGTTATTAAACACTTTCAGGCTAAATCTGTTTGCTTTTTCCTATCAATCAAGCAATCAATTTTAAAAATATATATAAATTTTATATATAATTATAAATAAATATATTATATATATATTATAAAAAAATAAATACATATATTTTTTTATATAATAATTAAATAATCACATATGTATTATATATATAAATAGTATTAAAAATATATAATTATGAACAATTTAAAATTACAAACCTTCAAAATTAAATTTATTTAGATTTTTAAGATTAGATTTTAGATAGTAGAAAGTTGACTTGACAGGATGAGATTGGCCTGATTGCAGAATTGGCGAATCCGGAAGTTTCAATTTAGATGTTGAGGCTGGAGTTACTAACTACTATACATTCATTTTGTAAAAAAATTGGGTAATCTCGGAGACGGCAAAGTGGTTTTTCCAAAAATATTTATTTATAGTCAACAGCTTAAAGAGACTCATAAGCTCCACCCACGGTGCAACTAATAAACTAAATACAGCCTGCATGTTCGTTGGTTAGCGACAGTATAATGTAAACAGTCGAAATACTAAAAAAAGGAAAACTGTTTTTTGAGTAATTATTTTTAAAATGTTATTGAATTTAAAAAAAATAAATAAAATGTAAAACGCTTGACAATGCAATCTACCCTTAAACGATTTTGAATCAAAATATAACCTGAATTTTATGCTTTGTACCATGTAATTAGAATAAATATAACGGCCTTCGCTCATTTTTGACGGTCGAACAAGGAGCTTACTTCCGGAGGAAAATTGGAGGGTGATTTTTTATCGCCCAAGTCAAAAGTTACGATCGTATATTTACTAATTTCGGAATATTGCTTTTATTTAAACTTTCAAAATGTTTTAAAAGGTGATACTAGATGCTGTTTTGGGATAGATATTGCTGTATGACGGTTAAGTATCTTTTGGCATTTTAAATAAAAAAAATTTTTTGTGAACCACCAACAACACAACAACACTAAACGACGACTAAATTAATTAAATTACTAAACTCTAATAATTAAACTAAAACTAATCTCTACTGATTCTAATTACTAATTGAAATAAATAACAGATAACACTAACGAACATTAACAGATTAGACTACTAGAAACTACCAACCACTACAGTCTACACTAATACATACTACTACTACATACACTAATGACTAACAGCACTTGTTCCTAAGATCCTAAATTCTATTGCTTGATTGGTTTTAAAATTTTTATTTACAATGCTTAGGTCTAGGAATAAAAAATATACTAAATTAAATAAATATATTAAACAACTTACCAATCAATTTTATAAAATAAACAATTTTGTAATTTGTTCAATTCAACCTTCAAACTCCTCAAGCTAACTTGCAATTTAATTAAAATTTATTAATTATGAGTGATTCAAACTAAATTTTTTTTTATTTAATGTTTTACAAAATATTCCTCATTCTTAAATTGTAGTACATGTTGTTATTAAATTTATTAAAGATAATGTGTGATTCCAGTGATTCATCAATCCATGACTTGTTAGATCATGATCATTCAGTTTTAAAGAATCCCCATCACCATAACCAATGAGATTTGTAAAAATTGTACTTTTAATTTATTATATTTTATGCACTTAGAATGTTGTGTTATTAATTATTATCATTAATTTATTAAATGCTTTGCATACCTATGGCAAGTAAATAAAATAATTAAGCATAGAAATAGCCACAATCAAATTAATTTATATAGGCATGAGTATAATTTGGATAATAATAATTAAAAATATCGGTATCATTGAAAATGGATAAAGTCATAAATAAAAAAATAAATCATAAATTGCTAAAAATAATAGTTCCAGTAAGATTTTGCCTTACACCTACATCTTTTTTTCATTCTTATATTATAATAAATGTTTGTTATCAAATATATCAAGGATTGATTTCTCAATCCATGACTAGATTGAATGTCATGACCCTACAGTTCCAGAGGATCCCCATCACCATTAGTCAATAAGGTTTGTAGAAATCATCCCAGGCATACCATCAATGTTTTGTAGCCACCTTTTAATGTAGTGTTAATAAAATGACATTGAGAATAGTTATTTAAAACAATCTTATTAAAATTATTGAACAGGTATGACAAGATTACTTTCTTAATGTCCTAGTGTGAGGAAGATGTAAGCCATTTGTCCAAAGATAATCATATGCCTTATGCCCATAGAAATGCAGTGTCAACGCGAATGATTTTTGATCAGAGTCATATGTTCTAATTTTTTTAAACTTTTCCAGAAATTTTTCTGTTAATTTATTTGTTACATTAAATACTTGATGTGTATTTCATATAAAAACTTGATTATGCCAATTTAGTTAACTTGTTAAGCATTAATATAAAATTGACTCTACTTGTAATGGTGATTGGTATGATGATGATGATCCCAGTCCTAAACAGGGTTTATTATTCTCAATGTCATTAAGCCCTTTCTAAGTTTTAATAAAATACATGAAATATTGGTGAATGCATTTTATATTTTTTGTATAGATAATGTTGCAATGTACAATGATGATGTGAATTGCTTCCTTGTGTAACTGATGACATATAAATATAACTAACTTGAAAACATGGGAATGCTTTCTTCAGCATTACGTTCCTTTCTCCATCATAACCCTTATAATTTTTATTACAGAAATGGTCACTGCATATTCTTGCATTTTTTGATGGAAGCCATTTGAAATCATTTATTTCCTGTCTGATGCACTTAATCCAATCGTTTTGCATTTTTACATTTTGAGGAAATCTGAAATTTTATAAACTGTTACAGAAACTTGTGCATTTCTTAAGTATTGCTTTTAATAATAAAATGGTAATCCATGATAGCATTATATTATAAATTATAATAGTCTATAAAATAAAATATATGAAATTGTAAAACAAAATAGTTCTATTCAGCGAGTATAAGGATATTGTTACATTTATTTTAGTGTGAAGTTAATTTGAAAATAAACCTGTGAAAAGATGCATCAGAAATTTTCTCATTTCTATTTATTATTAATGCAATTTATAATGCAACAGGTAGGCATGTTTGTGTATAGCTACGAAATTGAAAATTTACTTAAAAACTAAATTATTGTATCTGACATGAAAATTAGTACAGAAACAAAAACGAAAGAATAAATGACAATATAAAAATTTAAACATTGATTGAAAGAGTTTATTCTAATTATATGGTATGGGCAATTCGTTGCGAAATCGTTGGAGGAAATGGTGTCAACAGTAGTTATTTTACTGCATGGTAGTTAATCAGCCGGTATAAAGGTTATATTCAATTCCTATCAAATAAATTTGACAAAATATACACAGGCAGAACTAAATAAAGAAATAGACATGTAGTTATAATACATTTATAATGTTGTATTTACACATTCAAATTGTACAATTGTGTTATGGTGTAGTCTCAAATTATTTTAAATTCTCTCAGAAAATTTTAAACGTTTTACTACACTATATATACTAGTTATTTTTATCAACAATTTAAAAATTTTATCAATAATTAAAAAAAAATTTCAAATTGATTTCATTGCGATATCACTAATGATTTTTGTGACCTGACTGATTAAAAAGCATCAAAGAAAGTTAAAATAGGATGGAGAATTTGTTATATTGGGATATTCGTTTAAAAAGCGAGCAAAATTTTAATATAAAAGCGCTTATAAATCTATGCATATTGGCTCAGCTTGGCTTGGCTCGGCTTGGAATCAGATGTTAAGCAAGGTGTGGTCTTAAACTATTTTGAATTCTCCCCGAAAAATTTGAACTGCGTGCGTACATATATAGTAATGGCTACTGTTGTTTTTTATAATGAATTTATGCATATTGGCTTAGCTTGGCTTGGCTCGGCTTGGAATTGGATGTTAAGCAAGGTGTGGTCTCAAACAATTTTGAATTCTCCCCGAAAAATTTGAGCTGCGTGCTTACATATACAGCACTGATTACTGTTGCTTTTATAATGAATTTTTATTATATATATATATAAAGTGACTGGAATCCATGTATACAAATAATTAAATTATATTATATAAGATTATGTTTATATGAAAAGCAATATAGCAGATTCAACCAGCCAACCAGAAAGTTTCGAAGGCGTTCGTTCGATGACTTCAATTTAGTACGGTTAGCATTTTGGTTAAGACTGTATAATAGTGTAGTACATACATTAAATAAGTTTTTTATTGATGTGAATGATTGAAATGATGAAAATGTATGGTTGAAACGAGTATAAATAGGAGCTGAAAAAACGCT